CGACCAGTAACCCGGATCTTGAGTAGCTATCTCCAATAATGTGTGATTGCTGAGAGCAGGCAAATCTATTGATTTTTCGTTTCCGCGAGCGCTTATTATTGCCTCGGTCATATAATGAGTAAGTGAATGAAAGCTCAAGCAGATATGAAGGATTTCAAATTGCACCCGCTTCCAGGTTCGCCCAAGTTAGAGAAAAAATAATAAAACTTTCAAATATCAATCATAATCCGTAACACCCATTGATTACCAAATTAACTGTGTTTGAAGCTGGAAGTTTACAAGTCGATTGAACACTGGGGCAGATACAGTATTTTATAGAAGGGGATTCGAGATACGGCGCGCCGAAGGTGGTCTCTGGCCTTTAGGGTGGTGAGGGTCCAGGGGCATCCTCCCCTAGAAATTTTTATAAAATTGAGATCCCCAGAAATGGGATTTCCCGGCATCCCGAGGCCAAGTCAGCGTGTATTAATGTTTTATTTATTCAAGTTAGGGGGTTTGAGCGAACCCCTTCCAAACTCCCCTGCCCCAAGAACATTTCTCAGGAATTGAAGAAGAGCTTGAGAACAAAATTTCTTTAGGGAGATATATTTATGGTTGAATTTTNGGGTCTGGGGGCATCCTCCCCCAGAAACCTTTTAAAATTGAGGTTCCCAGAAATGAGATTTCCGTTATACCGAGTCCAAGTCAGCGTGTTTTGATGTCTTATTTGTTCAAGTTAGGGGGTTTGAGCGAACCCCTCCCAAATCCCCCTGTCCCAGGAACATTCCTCAAGAATTGAAGAAGAGCTTGAGAACAAGATTTCTTTAAGGAGGTAGATTTATGGTTGCATTTTACTGCAAAGCATTATGTCAAGTGCTCAGCCTTACCGACTGGGTTTGTAGAGGTCTCTTTGCCTTGCTGGTGCATGCGATAATGTCTTGTAACTGTTCCATGCGCCGCCTCAGCTTCCACTGTTTTACCATCAGGGCAGACCAGAACACTTGTCATCATGCCAAGCGAACCGAATCCTGCAAACATATGCGCTCAATCAAATGACATTTTGCCAAGTCTTGTAGACTGTAGTAGCATTCACTCTAACGGGAGGGAGGGAGGGGAAAGGGTGGAGGGGCACACCGTGAGGGTATGAGAGGATCGCTATAATTTCTTTTGACTCCCTGATACTCTCATGATCATTCCTTGCACCCTGTCTTTCATACAAGCATACTCCCATAGTCCCACCAATTGCAGTCACTGGGAGGGCAACAATTACATGAATTCAGCCTTCTTTAGGCATTCGGTTTTTTGGTGAAAAACGTTCTGGGCAAATCGCAAAAATTTTCTCTGATTTTGTTTTCTTTACCTGCAATCCTTAAAACAATACAACAGAAGTTTGTTTTTCTAAAAAAAGTCTTCCTGTTCACAGCAAATCTAAACAAATATTCTCACACTAGTGCATTGAAACCACAAAAGAAAGACAACCAAAGACTGATTTTTGAACATAATACTTAACCTCTCTATTAAGGGGAGCAACAAAAAGTTCGACTGTTGAGAGGGAAAAGGGGTAGGGGCTTGCGGGAATCTCTCCTTAGCCATGCCTTAGTCATCTCCTTAACCATCCTTATAACCATTGCCTGGAATAGGTTAGCCTATTAATGCACTGAGGCACAGAATTGAGATGACAAACAGTACCTGCATGAAGGAAACACACCTTATCTTCTTTAACCTGCAATCAGGTGTTCCTGCCGTGAAAACTAAGAGCATGTATTTGATTGCCGGC